TGCAGCTGTATCATGATTTCTTGTGCAACACTACAACTTATTCATCCCCAGGCCGGTCTGTGAAGTGAGCTTGGTCCCTAACCAACGCCACCCCGAGAGGTCTCCTTTCCAAAGGCAGCGTGAATTCACAGACCCTGTAGCTCGAGCTGACTTTGCCCAGTGGTTCACCCATGACTTTCTGCAAGAGGAAACCTATCAAGCATAATACAGAACAAAGCCCTCCCAGCTATACACAAGATGAGCTGGAAATGCTGAGCCACTGATTAGCAAGGCAGAGCCACCGCGGAGACTCTGCTAGGATAATCTGAAATTGAAATGGGGGCAAGAGTTAACCAAATTCAGGAGACAGACCTTGCTCATTTACAAGGAATTCAATTTCTTTTAGCATTACACACAAGGGAAAGCCCCCAAAAAACCAAAGTTGTAGACTAAGCTGGTTGAATGGGATTTTTAGAAATAGGTTTTTTCCTAAATAATTATTAGCTAAACATTTTAAACCAAATTGTAAGGAGCAAAAAAAAAAATCAGGGTAATTTTATTTCTTACTACCTGGGGCTATACAGTAATTATGCAAATGGCAGAGAATTTGTCACTTTGAAGAACCATGTGTGCAAAACAAGTTGATTAAGTAAAATACAGTTGCCTTAGTCATCATACTAATTTGACAAGGTCTTTAAAAATGTCTTTCAGCTGTCTCCTTCTGGGTTAGGTATGCAAAAACCCATCTTCAAAATGATGCTTCTTTAGGAAATAAGTACAAATTAACGAATAACAAATCCAGAGGAGTTTGATTCACTCATCAACTGCAAGCTCCCTAAATGCTTTCAGGCCTAAAAAAGGGACTGTACAGCAGGGAGATGGGACTCTGTTAATCACACCGGGTCACCTGGCTCACTACTTTCTCACCACAACCCCATACTTATTTCTGCATGACTCTCAACAGGGAAATGCCCACCCCTGGTTCCTAGGAACTGTCTGTGAAAAGCCCCACCCAGCAGACTTGTTGTTAATTGCCATCCATTCACGGCGACCCCATGCACGAGGAACAAAACACTGCCCCATCCTGTGCCATCCCATGACTGGTTGCAGATCAAACCAGGGTGATCCATATGGCTTTCACTGGCTGATTTTGAGAAGTAGATCGTCAGGCCTTTCTTCCTAGTCTGTCTTAGTCTGGAAGCTCTCCCTGAAACCTGTTCAGCCTCATAGCAACATGAAAGCCTCCACTGACAGAGTGGTGGTGGCTACGTATGAGGTGCGTAGGCTGGGAATCAAACCTGGGTCTCCTACGTGGAAGGCGAGAATGCTACCATTGAACCACTACCGCTTCACACCCAGGAGACTAGACTGGCCTTTTAAAGAAAACTCAAGCCGAATGGCCCAGAGGTTTCAGAGGCTTTAATTTCCTGTACACACCCTTATCTCCTCTAGCCGTCAGTTATTTCATGACACAAACCACTGTATGCAGGGCTACCCTCCGTGAATGGCTTGCAACATCTCAGTGGGTCTCTACAAGACATGTGATAAGTGCACACAAAATGAATTTCTCTCTGTGAAGCTCCTGTGTGCCTGTCCCTTCTCCAAACAGTCCAAGACTTAAGCAGATGTTACATCCTTGCAAGTAGGTCAGCTCAGACCGGAGCCACCTAAAGCAAAGACCCAAGTAGAGGAAAATTAAACTGTATTCCCTGTTCGGCACACAATGACTATCAAATTCAGTGGGCCTCTCTTAAGGCTGAAAAAAATTATTTCACAGCCAGCCGCGTAGCTTAAGCGACTATGATAAGACATCCCTGTAACTGCTGATTATCTGAAACGTGATTTCTAGCTCAAGCATTCGCAACTGTAGCATATTTTTGGCACCAGATCCCACCTAGATGGCACTCGGATCACCTTATCCATATATTATCACGGGGTCCAGACATTGCCATCAGGACCAATGCCCTTCTGTACTCCCCTAGCAGGCCCCGGTACCCAGGCTAGAAGTTGGTGGTCTCCAGCCTAGCCTAATAATTGGTGGCCTTCTCATACACAGGGCTCCCTTGAGCTTCTTCCCCGAGCAAGTTCTTGAGAAAACACATGCGTGCGTGTACACACACACACACACACACACACAGTCAAGTCTTGCTTTTCAAAGTTTCTTCTCAAATCACAGGCCACCTCCAGCTTCAGTTCTTCCCTGAAGACACTGGCATTATTTTCTTTTTTTTAAGAAAGAGATGGGGGAATGAAAAGAATTCTCCAGACATAAAAAATGGCACCTGGGAAGACTACGTAAGAAGGTAAAGCTGCATGGACTTTTGGAATCAAATAGAAAATGCTATCATTTGCATAAAATTTGCAAGCATCCTTCTCTCCACAACCTTTGTCAGGTATCTGAAAATGCCTTATCAGAGGGGCAGGCTTCCTGCAAAGGTAAAGCTCATGGAAACAGACACCTTGTCATGAACCCCGCGTGTGAGAGCACTTCCAGAGGGAGGTTCTCAGGGTCCTAAGAAGAAAGCCATGATGAATGAAAGAGGACAAACGTGCCTCTACTGCCAACACCCTGCACGATGTTATTCCCAATTTATCCGCACAGAAGTCTCACATAGCTGAAGAAACAACAAATTTTTTTTTCCCACCTCCCAAGTAACAGATGAAGAGAAAACCCGGAAGTGGCCCAGAAGAGCTAAACCCAAAGCAGGCTGATTCAGTCAACCCTGGCAAGCGAACGATTTATTTTCATGAGGTGCAGATAACAAGGGAAAGTCGAGAGCAGCCGGGCAAAGCAGAGCCCTGAGCACCTTATGCCTCCACTCCTACTAATCAAAATGAATTCAATTTCCTAGGCTTGTCCTCTCCTGGGCCTCCATCTGTTCCCTGAGAGTCACCTGTTGACGCCTGTTACCTGACGCCACCGGAACCAGGCTGTTCATCAGCCAAGGTTGGAAGTGCCAGGCTGCCACCACCAGGTGGACTGAATTCCTCCTCTGCCTACCACTAGCCTGTTCCTGGATCAAAATCAACCTCCTATCTCCTAGTGCCTCCCCTGCATCTATACATGTACTTCCAACGTGTGCACTACCCGATGGGCCACTCCACTTCTTAACTCTCAAAAGAGCTAGGCTATTCAGCTGGTTGAAGGCACGCTTCATTTCTTTGTAAGCTAAAAATAATATCATGCCTTTATCATTCATGGTGTATAAAGTTCTGTTAGTGTTTGCCACATATGAATAATGCACTCTACTCAGCAAAACTGGTTCAAGGCGATGATATACTAATTACCTCCTCTTAAAAACAGACCTAGTTAGATATTACATGCATTCCCATATACTACAGCACAGACCCACAATGTTTTATTAATCTGTATTTGCATCTTAGTAATACATGTACTCATTTAAATATTTTAACAAACACCCTGTAAGGAAACTCTGAAAAAAACTGACCCCAACACACAGTTGTCCCCTACCCCCACATCTCCAAAGGCCACAGGTACTTTTTGCAACCGCACATTAGAAACTATAGAGAAAATGAGTGCATTTTATAAAACAAAATCTAAACAGAAAACAAAATGTGCTTTGGGCTCCCGGGTTCACAGGCAGCATACATTTCACGGAAAGACACAACTGAGACATGGATTTAAATGCCTTTCATCTCAGAAGTAGCAATGGAAATGCATTTGATTTTTAGAAACGCTGTAGTTCTGTCACCTCAGGAACCAAGCTGACAACGAAGACTCTAAGAACCAAACAACTGACTTCACCCAACACTGGAGACCAGGTGCTACTCTACTTCTCTCTGCCAGCAAGCTCTCAGGCTTAGGAGATTGTTTATGAAAGACAGAGGGCACCCAGCGTCTGGCCCTCATTAACTTTAACCCAAGGCCGGGAATGAGAGATTAGTGATAACATCAGGAAGAGCATAGTTCTGTCTCTGGATGTGGTTATCCAACAGCTGAAATCTTGTCCAATTCTATCTTCATCAAACTTGTTCTCTAACATTCAAAGTCTATATTTGATTCCAGTTTCAGGTCAATAGCCAAGTAATGATTTAACACCATCAACTCTGAAAAAATCTTTTCCTGTTTAGACAAGGTTGTCTTCAGTCTGGAAGTGGACTTTCTGGAACTCAAGTTGGGACTACCTGAGCAGGACAGGAGAAAGCAGCAAAGTAGTATTTGACAGTGCTGAGTCATTACAAGCTGTTTCTTCTGATATGTTATGCACCCATGGGCCATTTGAGCATTAAACTCCCCTTTCTGGAGTCAAATAAAATAGATGCACATTGTGTAAAATGATGAGCCGTTTGTGGGCTGAGAGACCACGGTGACGAATTTATCTTTAAGAGTGGCTAGCAAGAACTACACAAACTCGGCAGTTGTTCTCAGCGTACAGTAACTTTATCCCAGACGCTTAAAGATGGCTATTGGGGTACCGGGTAGGAATATTCCCCCCTGCTCTGACCAGGGCCACACCTGGCCGCATTTTACTCTAAGCTGTTAAATCCTCCCAGTAATTGGCGGGTGGAGAAACTGCTCGGAGAAAATGATGCATAATGGATTTGTTCTCCAGGCGGACGGAATGGGGAGTAGAGCACGCAGGATGCTAACTGGCTTTTCTTCCCATGTGCAGGTCACCTGAAAACCGCGATGCCTCGCTCTCGAAGAGAGCTCCTGAACTCACCATCTGGCTCTCGCTTTCAGGGGCGCCGGGGGGAGGAATGGTTTCACGCCCACCTGCCCGCCGCCTCTCCTCCCCGGGCACCCCCAGTGCCCGTCAGCCGTACGAGCTGCTGCCGGCATCCGCGGTCCCCGCCCGCTCCCCGGTCGCTCGGCAGCGCGGCAGCCCGGCCGGCAGCTCCCCCGGCGGCAGCCTCTGCACCAACTCGCCAACCTCCACGCCAGGCTGAGGTCAAGCCTGTCTGCCCCCAGCGCCAGGCGCCCCCTCCTCGGCCCAGGCGGCCGCTCAGGCGCGGGGCTGGGGAAGGGGCCCCGCAGCGGAGTTGGCACGGGGACTCACCAGGTAGGCGCCCACCGTGCCCTGCGCCAGCATCAGGGCGCACTCGGACACTAGGAAGATCTTGATGTTGGAGAAGCAGGACACCTTCTTTTTCTTCTTCTTGTTCCTCTGCGCCTCGTCCCCCTGCAGCTCGCCACTCCGGCCGCCGCCCGACGAGCCGCCCGGCTTCTTCCCCTGCATCCTTCCCCCGCCGCCGCCGCCGCTGCTTTCCCGCTGGCCCGGGGTGTCCGGGCCGTTACCGGGCGGGGGTGCGCGCCGCGAGGCCGCGTGCTGTCCCCGCCCCGAGTCCGGGGCGGCCGCCCCCGTCCTGCCGGGGGATGATAGGTGGAAGGCACAGCTCCTCGCCGCCGCCGCCGCGCTTGCCCCCTTCCTCCACCTCCTCCTCCTCCGCCCTCCCTTTTCCTCCTCCCCGGCTCGGGCTGTGCCAATCACAGGACCGCCTCGCCTCCCGCAGACGCCCGAAGCTGCCATCGCCCGCTTCCCCGCGCCCGCCGGCCGCGCCTGCCCTCGCCTGCCCTCGCCTGCTCTGCCCCCTGCCCCTGGGCCCCAGCCTCAGTTGCCGATGCCCGCCTCCGCGCGCCGCTCTCCGCTGCTCGTGCGCCCACCGAGGAGCGGGGGGAACCGGCCTGGGGCAAGGAGAGCAGCGCGCGGCGGAGCTGGAAGGGTAGGGCTACCGAGAGGGCTGGTGAGAACGGGAGCCTCGGTTAAGGGCGGGTGCCCCTGAGTGAGAAGGCGGTGCCCGGCCCCCAGGTGGCGCTGTGGGGTACCGGACGCCGCGGCGGCGAAGTGTGGTACTGCAGGAAGAACCCCGGACGGGGGATGGGGGTGCGGAGGCGTCCCCGCGGGGCCGGGACCTAGTGCTGGGTATCCGCGGCGCTAGGCCCGAGGGACGGTATGTTTCCAGAATACAGAGTACCTAGAAAGGAGTTGGTGCGCCCCCGCCACCTCAGCCCGGGTATTTCTGGGGACAGACGTTGCGCTATGGGGCTTGGGGAGGTGTCAGAGGTCAGAGCTGCTCGAGAAGTCGCCTAGTGGCCCCTGCTTCTGCTTCCCCTGGCTAGTGGGCGTGCCGAAATGGCCCCAGAAAGAGAGGAGAGAAAGGAACTGAAGCACTAGGGGGAAGTTCGATTAATCTGTCGGGAGCCTCACAGACTGTCAGTCGCCGGCAGCCACGAGGTTCAGGAGGCTGCACGGCTTCAGCGACCCCAGCAGAGGGCCTTCTCCAGCCCTCCACCTGCCTGGAACCCATCCGCGGGAATGATGCAGGCAGCCGAGGCTGGGGGCAGCCCGGAGGCAGTTAGCCACAGCCTGCCCTGGTCTCCACCCCTCCCCTCCATGTTTGGCCGCGCCACTTTCCGCTTCCTTGGCCTGAATGCCCAGTGGCAGCCACTCTTTAATCAGTTCCAACTCAGCGTCACCGAGGAATTGGAGCCACAGGGCACTACCGACAGGATCCGCTAAGTCCTCAGCCACAGTTTTTGGAAGCTCAAAAGAAAACTGGACTGGATGAGTAACAGGAAGCGCTGAGTAACTCCCACGTAGGGAATTGGGAGCTCGGCCAATCATTTGAAAAGCCTTAATCGTGTCCAAGAAAGTGATCTACTCTCCTGTATGTATGTGTGCCACCTCAGGGTTAAATTAAAAACCAAACAGTAATTAACACCACCATAATTTTTACTTTCTTCCAAAGAACTTGAATGAGAACGTGCAGTGTGATGGTGGTGGTGGTATTTTGTCGTATCATTTGAATATACAACGTTTGATCTGTTTTCTGAGGTACTAGACAGGATCTCACTGAGAGCCCTTTGTGATGCTGCCGCCCCCCTTGGCTGCGCCAGCGCGTACCTGAATTGCGCCCCCTCCCCAGGTCTTTTTCCCCATTTTCCCCAGTTCCTGTTGTCACTGGCTACACTCAAAAGAGTGTATGAGTCTATCATTAGAATTCTGTCTTCCCTCCTTTACTCCCTACCCTCCTCCCTTCATATAGAAAAGATACTTTTCAGTGCCATCTGGTTTCACCCTTTCTTCCCTCTCCATCACTCCTGCATCACGAAGTGGCCTCCTCTCTTCTCTGTGAAAAGACCCTTCATGAGCTAGCGCTCTTCCCTGCCTCTGACTGAGAGCTGCAAGGCTGACCTGAGATTTGACTTGTCTGTGAACACTGATCCTGTTGCTACTGAAATGCCATTCAGATAGCATTATGGTTTTCAGATCTTACTTACAGACTTCATAATAAGAGCTAACATTTATTGCCTGCTTACTCTGGCTAGCCACCGTGCTAAGTGTTTCACCCCTATTAACGGTTTAATCCTCCCAGCAGTCCCCTAAACGAGGCACTGTTGTTAGTCCTGATTGAGAAAACTGAGGCTCAGAGTGGTTAACTAATCTGACCCATGTCACTTGTCCAGTAAATGGCAAGACCAGCCGTTGAACCAGAGTGTCTGCTCTCAGAGTCCATGTTCTTAATGGCTAGCTATATGTTATCTCCCATGGGAGAAAGAGGTGGCAGTCAGCATCCGTAAACACTACAGCCTTGGAAACCCTATGGAGAGTTCTACTCTGTCCAGTAGGGTCGCTATGAGTCAGAATTGACTTCACAGCCTTGAGTTTATTCATTATCACCTAGTGGTTTCCTGGGGAAGATGGGACTCATGTTGTTCCTATTTCATAAATGGAGATTCAGAGAGGTGTGGTGACTTGCCCAGTGTCACACAGCCAGAGTCCAGTTCAGGTCACTTTGTCTACATCACGTTGCCTCCTGCACAGTCTGAGAGGGGACGTGTTTTTTGTTTTGTTTCTCAATTGTATTTATTTTAGGTAAAAAAATTAGCTGTCTTTAGACAAATCAAACATTTTACTGGCAGAGAGAGGATTCCAGATTAGGGTTGTAGATTCTTCCTATAATTAGCGGTAAGTAGTCATGAAAATAATCCTGCACCTGAAGCCTTAAGAATAATCAAAGTCAGCCTGAAGGAAATCAGGCGGCAGCCTAATGACAATCAGAAAGAAGCCATTTAACATGTCTGGTTTCCTTTCCTCCCTGCTCGTCCTTTATTTCCTTGTGGATGACGGGCCCAGGGATAGTGAGGCAGGTTTACGGGCAGCCAGTGCATCTGCCTGGCAGCCCCATAGTGCATCATGCAGCAGAAAAATAGGAATTGTCCTCATACCTGTACCACACGATAATGTTTGTAAAGTACTTTTAGATTCTGCATCTCATTTGATTCTCACAACAGGAAGAGCTAATCTCATTGCTTCCATTTTGCTCATAAGAAACAGCAGCAAGTAAGTGACTTGTCCCAGCTCACAGCTAGCAAGTGGCAGGAACAGAACCTGCATTCTCCACCCCAAAGAAGCGGAGCAACGAGGAGGGGGAGCAGGACTAGAGGGCACTCAGCCCTCCCATGATCTGCATTGCCCCCTCCAACTAGCCTCTGGAATGGATAATTGACAGTCTTGTGAAGAGCATGGCAAACAGAGCTGAAACCCCACCCTCCACACCTCGACTGATTGCTACCTTAAATGCTGCCTTGGAGAAATGCCGTAGCCATCACTTCCAGCTTGGAGCTTTTCATTCATTTGCCCCCCAGAGGTGGAATATATCTATATGTAATATACATACGTTTCATGTATATATATGTATGTATGTGTGTATATATATATATATATGGAGAGCCCTGGTGGTGCAGTGGTTAAAGCGCTCAGCTGATAACCGAAAGGACAGTGGTTCAAACCCACCAGTGGCTTCATGAGAGAAAGATGTGGCAGTCTGCTTCCATAAAGGTTACCGCCTTGGAAACCCTATGGGGCAGTTCTACCCTGTCCTGTAGGGTTGCTATGAGTCAGAATCGGCTCGACGGCAGCGGGTTTGGTATATAGATATATGTGTGTGTGTATATACATGTACACACATATGTAGATGTATTTAGGACAAGGGTCAGTATGACTTGTGATTCATAGAACCCTCATGATTATTTTGACCTCTCAACTACTTTTCATTGCTAGCTGATTTTTCTAAGCTAGGTGAAATTGTTACTAGCTAAGACATTGGTTCCATGATTCCTTACCCTATTGGCTGCTAGAGGTATTTCAAACATTCAGAAGCCACATAATCTTGACATCTAATCTAGGGAAGTAAAAAGAAGATTGGGTGACATGGGAAGATAAATTGGCTTTTGATTCTTAAAAATCTTAATGAACTGTATATAACTGCTTAGTGATTAGGATTTGGAGAGCTTTTCTCCCCCGCCTTAGAAAGGACTGCCAGCTCGGTTATGTAGGAAGGAATTGGGTTAACTCCATGGGCATGGGAAAAAATGACAATATCTTCCACTGTTACTGGACTGTGGCAAGATTTCACCGCAAGCCACTTCAGTGTAATTCAACACAATAAGAAACTGTTGTTCAAGTAATTCACGTGAACCATCCTTTGCCAGCTTCAATTTTGTTCACAGGCAAAGACCAAGTTGAAAAATAAATGCAAAGAATGATTTCTGAGTGTCACTGGGATAAAAAATAGATACTTAGATTCTCACCCTATGGATGGATTTTTTCCTTTTTCTGAAAATGCACCAATCATATATTGTGTCCAACCAAGGACAGAATTGGGGCTAGGCCAGCTTCTTTGGCTTAAAATATTTGGGCTGAGTTGAAACTCGTTTTTTTTTCTCAGAGTTATTCTCTCCCCACCCCCATTTTCCAATTAGCCTGGTCCATATGCCTTTCTGTCGAATAGCCTCGGTTTACTACTGACTATATTCACAGTTCCATCATTTAAATTATATCTCTTAATATGACTACATCCTACTGCTCAGCAAAGACACAAAAAGGATAAACAGCAGTGTAGATGCACTTAAAAAAATGATTAACCCAAGATCCAAGTGGAGAAACAGAAGAGAGAACAAAGAAAGAACATTAATGGAAATTATAGAATGGATACAAGAAAAATAGGATTTTAAGAATGTGTTGTATTTATGTAAAATGGGTTTTGAGATAAAGGAGAAGGGCTAGAAAGTGTCAACATTTACCAATACTGGTGCACTGAGGAGTAAATTGCTGCCACTAATGACAGCAACAACATTGATATTTATGTAAATAGAATTTGCTTATCCAAATAGACTATAAGCTTCTTGAGGGTAGAAAAAATGTTTTGCACCCCGTTTGAGCTCCTAAGTACATAG